CCTTCAATGATGTGAATCGCATCTGCATGACACGCTGCGGCCACCAAAGAATTCGGACACCAAGATACGCTAATCCACTTCTTCACAGAGGTAAGGGAGAATAGGGAGGTGATTGGGAACTCGCTTGTGCCAGAGGTCACAGCACCGGGGTCTAAGGATTCAGGAGAAAGGTCAGCAGTTAACGGTCGAGGCCAGGGTGCGGAGGCAGACTCGGGTGTTCGGACTTCCGGTGAATGTCCATAGTAAGTCGGATAGAGGTGCGAGTCGTCTGGTTCCATTTTCAGCTTGTAAATACCACGCAAACCCATTTCCCTATCAACTATTCGCACGTCAGACTGATATGATCCTGTGAATATGTACCTAGCGATAGACATAGTGAATTTGTGCATAGGACTTACCTGTCATCCGATGACAGCGAAATTTTGAAATCATCAAATAACAGTTCTGTCTCGTAAATACTATTTAAGTATGGTCTGAGGTGAGATTGGACTGGATAAATCTCCACAGGAGCAGATGTATTCGCAAGATCCCAAACTGTAATGCGCGCAATTACGAGAAATTATGAAAACCAACCTTTTACCGACAGGAAGTCCCTCGAAACAATGTGTCGGTCAGAATTGTGGAAGAACTTTAGGTCGGCAATTGAATTTAGCAAAATGAGGACAGGATTTTGTTCGGCTTCAGGTAAGTTGTCAATTGCTATACAAACAAGGTTAAATGGAAGAGATGCTTACATATCGCAGGACGGTCGCAAAGTGCAGTGTTGCGAGTATCGCAGACTCGCACGGAACCACGGTTAGTGCTGTAAGCAAATAACGATGGTGATGAAGGCGAAGCCGTCAGTCCTGTGATCAAATGCGTAATGTCCTCAATTCGTTCAGGCATAAGATCGACGATAGCTTCGGAGATTGAAGGTTAAGGAAATTCCAGTAATCACTAGTACCGAATAACGGGTATAGTATTTTAGCATATATTACAACATGAAATGACTTTCAACATTAAACCGCGTATAAACTTTTAAAGGATACTAAAGGCTTCGTAATCGACATCGTAGTGCCACAAGTTTATTCTCAATGGATCAGACGAGAGGAACGTTTCCTGATCGACAAAAGGAGCCAGACCAGTGAGAGAAAACCCATGACCACGGGCAAACACTTTCTTGTTGTAGACTCTGACTGCTTTATTATCGGACATCCGTGGAGACCACCGGGGAACTTTTAAGTCAGAATTTGATCGAATCGCAACCTTCCTGCGACACCCGGATTCGGTTGGAAAGTTCAGATTGCCCATCTCACGCAAAGGTACCTCGGTAACTCGCCATAGCTTTATCGTCCGCTCTAAAAAGTCGAGCAAAAGATGCTTTAAGTTACTAAATGTTAGAATATGGACACGAAGCTTGCACAAATATAAATGTTCCTTACCATTGGCGGAGAGTAGAAAATGAGACGGCCCACATCTGCTAAGCCACCGTATAAATGTAAGTTTTTCTTCAATAGCTTGTGATTTGAGGCAATCGAATTCGGGTTCGTGACTCAGAAACGACTGGTAAGGCTTTGAGCAAACGTGATTAGAAAACCCCATATCTGATTTCTAAAAGGTGCACTAAGCAATAACATGGGTTACGCTTTGCCCAAGTTCAAGTATGCTAAGAATCCCGTCAGAATTTCCATACGCCAAATGAGTGCCTTCTTTATTAAACTCAAGAACAGATATAGCTAAACGATTTCAGAATACAATGTTCAAGTACCTCCAGATCCCTGAGTTCGGTTGAGGATTTCATTACAATAAAAGCTAAGAGGAATATTTTCTATTACGCTAAGTGATTTATTAGACTGAAACATACGGGAAGAAGAGCTAGTCGCCGGGGCCCCAGTGCTTGAGCCCGGCAAAGGCAACACCATATTTAAAATTGGCGCGACGATTGCGCCGAAATTTGTCTAGTCACCTAAAGTGGGTGTGCAAAATAGCCACAAAGAAGTTTCATTCAGGGCGCTTATCATTCAGTTTTTAAAATGTGTTGATTCTAATTTAGTTAAAATAGATTATGAAATATTTATAGGCAGGCAATACATGCAAGAATTATAAAAAAATTATTAAAAACAATAAAAGAACTCAAACAAATAGTAGAAGTATAAAATCACTCATTAAAGATGACTATTTCGTAAACTAAAACATTAACATTTAAAAGCGAATTTCAAACAGAATACAATTAGTTACGTTACATGTCAAAATTCTAATGTCGGAAATGAAGCGCGGATGTAATTCGCCGATCCCGTTTGTCTTTCCACAGCAATCTACTCCCTTGCCCATCTCTGCACCCAGCACACCCACGCTACTATTTTTTATACGAGTCAAAATTCTAACGTCTTTGAGTTGCGTCAGCATTCTCCGCCTCCTTGTCAACTTCTCCAAACGCGATGCCTCTGCCCCCAATAAATGTGGTCGCAAAGATCCTTTCGCATCACTAAAACTTACACAAGACCTCATCAGGTGATTAATCTCCTCTTCTTTCCCTTGCCGTCACCGTTGTGGGACGTAAAAGTCTGCAAACGACCCAGGCAAGCCGTATCGTTGTTTTATACTTACCGTCAAGAGTGTTATTCAAGTTGTCCACTTGACGCATCCTATGCCCCAGCACATTCACTCTTTCGCCACGCTTTCTGTCCTCCCGCTGCAGTCGCTCGCTCTAAATGCCTTTTCACATTTATTTTATTGACCACCTCCAGATGATTTCCAGTTTTGTCTCGAGTTTGCGAATTTGCGCAGTAAAGCCGTGTAATATGAAAAGAAATTGACTAGTGCATTCAGTTGGAGGTTGGCTATTGCAGTTTACGTGCCCTCGCAATGGTAGGACTAGGCTTGCGTGCAGGCCGCCGCTTGCAGTGCTGCATTTCGAGGGGGCCACATGTGGTATAGTAGTCAGTAAATTGACTAAGCACTGAACCATGCGTCATGAGTGATACGTGCATTAGGTCGATATCATTGACCGGTAATTGGGACCCGTTGCTATTTTGAGCACTGTGTGACGCTTCTCTGATGCTCCGTGCTTTGTTGTCTAATTTGTGGCCTGATGCTGTGACATAATTTGTACCCTATGATTATGGTGATAGGCAAATCCTTGCAACCTGGACGTGTTTTAAAATTTCAGTGGGTTTGTTGGATGTTCACTGTAGTTAGTCTTTGGATTCACCGTTAAGTGATGTCAGTTAAATGTGGCTTAGTAAGACATTGAGTAATTCGACTCGACAGCGTTTGCAGAAAGTACAGGTCTGTGTCCGGTTCTGCGCAGCTCACAGAAAAACCGAGTTGATACCCATCAAGTCGAAATCAGTTATCAGTTAAATTTACCCAATGGTCGGATCATTGTGTTTGAGCACAATCTCAGTCTCCATGAGCTGAACTAGGCCTCAGGGATTAGGAGCCCCGAGCTGAAGGCAAATAGCCAGTAGTACTAGCAAAGCGCTTTCAGCGTGGCTAATTCGGTCAAAGGTACTGCTTGCGTGTTAGACCAATGAAACCTGTCTGTTTGCACCTTCCAACATGCTGTAGTGCTCGTGTCTTTTTACATGTTTCAGCATGATACCGGATTGCTTTGAAATCTGCAATATTGGTTTTTCAATTTCCATCCGTACAGAAATGCCAAAAAATTTGCCAAAATACTACTTATTTGCTTCATTTTTACCCGAAATATAATCACCTCGTTTGTTCTGTGACTGAGTCGCGGTTATAACGGTCGGTGTGTTCGTCGTTAAGTGATGCTAGTTAAACGTGATGGGAAGAACGCTGGTTAATGAAGTGTTTCAAGTGTTCCAAGGCGTGCGATTGTATGTCTGAGTCAACGCATTCTGCGGAACTGCCATATTGAGGCCCGTGTAGACTCGGCATACTTTCTCCCCTTTTTGCCAATCAGTTAAGCCGCGTTGGTGTCTCATTGTGGAAATTATCGCTCCTTTTAGACCAAATTGCTGTTTACCAATGCCAAACGATCCAACTCGTTGTATATGCGTTGTGGTCACTTGCGTGTTAGTTGGATTTTGTTGTGGTTAGGTGAAGTGCGCAAAATATTCGGTCTTGAGTAGGTATGCGTCTGTGAAGTCAATGTCCTACATCTGTGGTGTCGTGCTGAGACGCTTAATGCCCAGCATGTTTTACGGCTCACTCACTCCACGCAGTGATCGTGCTAACCCAAATTCGCAAAGGTCTTGTCTATTAACTGTATCAACCGTATGTACTCGGTAAACAAAATTGTGCTCTTAACGTCATGTTGATTTCACTACAAACTCTGGCAAAACTCTCCGCTTTATCCGGTACATGGATCACGGGATAACAACTGCAGATATCGAATTATGAAATGTCGGAAAACGTATAATGCCTGCGCAGCTGTCATCGAGGTGTGGCTTGATGCTAAATTCTTCACAAGCTTTTACGTATGATTAATCGAGACATTTTTGCAAGATAACCGCTTTGGACGATCACCAAATAGTGTTGCAGAGACGTCACGTGAATAATTGCCTCACATCTTTAAGCGCAGAATGCGATTTCGACCGCTAACTCGCCTAACTAGAAAATGTGATTAGCTCCTGAACTGTCGCATTGTGCGCTTTCGAGATCCACCGCACCTGATAGATCTTGATCACCCCTGGTGATGCTTCGTGTGCTCTTTGCAAATTATGCTTGCGTTTTTGAAATTTTTCCATTTACAAAATAAACCTTTGCTATGTGTAAAGTCGTAAATTGCCTTGGTGTCAGTGAGTTGCATATCTTGTGATTGATAATTACTGCCCCCGCATTGATCCCTTGTGTCTCGCACTGATCGAGTGGAAACAAGACGTTTTTACAGATGCTAATTTCATTTTTAAGCCAACGGAGCCATTTCAGTTTGTGTGCTTACAGTCGGTAAAGGTTAAGTGGCTTCACTAGAATTAATTGTCATTCGCGAAGACGGAGACGAGATTTACCGCACAGGACGTTAGTCAAGGTCTTGAAAATTTTCTGTATGGGCCAATTAGTCCGCTTGATTCCCTCGTTTGGCCTAGATCTACATCAAATATCATGGACCCTAACAAAGGCGACGCTACGTTTTTACCCGTCCAAGGAAGCGATTGGTGCTCCTATTCAAGTGTGCTCAGGAATTAGAATCATTACTTGCCATTCAAAGGTGTGTCGGCAACGTGCGCAACAGGCTAGGACATTCATGCTCTAACCTATTCATATTTTTTTGGCAGCATAACCTACGAACCCTTACGTATAACAATCTGTCGACTAACACTGCCAAATTCCCTGCGCCTGAATTCTCTGGGGCAAAAGGAGCGAACGCAGAAGCAGTCAACAACATGAACCCACGCTGGTCCAACCCGAGGACAGCAATATCTTTGGCGTCAATAGGGATCAGCCAACTGCCAAAAACGTGTCTCCGGTCCTCTAAATTATTCTGAGCAGAATGGGCATTTACAAAATACGCCAAACCTGCTTCTTCGTAGCCACAGACTTGAGTCGAAGAAGCAAAAATAGAATTTACTCCAGATGGTCCGATGCCGACCACTGCTCTCATGGTTGCTGCATGAGACAAATTACTGTTAGTACACACGCCCTGACTCCATGGTAAGCATCAGCGTCTGCATCCAGTAACTCAGACCTGATCTGGGTATTAAAGCACGTGAAATCCCGCCAGAAATGAAGTATTCAGAGTAGTATTTCGCCACAAATTAAGAGTCAAATCCCTAATCCTTATATATGGCGGTAAATGTGTAACCCACGTCCACGCATTACCCGTTTGTAACTAGAGAGTTGAATGACACATTCGCCACTAGGTATGTGCAATCTACAATTGCCTCTATGCATCTAAGTAACTTGAGTTTAGAGACACGGATTTCACAAAGACAGCATTAAAAATTCATTAAATCTTATTTCTACTGAAGTGCAGCAACACATATTTATGTTTCACTGACATTACGTACCTTCATTCAAGTATTCCTATGATCAATACTGACCAATTGGCAGAATTGTATAGATTGCAAAGTCATGTAAGACCCAGTACGGTTTCGATGGCAAAGGTCATATCAACAAGAATTTAAAGGGTCCGGAGACACATCAGTGGAAGTTAGCTGATTCCTGTTGACGTCAAAGATGCCGCCTTCCTTAGGCTGGACCGGCGTGGCTTCGTATTGTTGACGGATTCAGTGTTCAATCCTTTTGTCCTATTGACCTCGGCAGCAAGGTTTGTGGGAGCGTTAATCGACAGCGCGTAGGTTGCAAATAACTAAAATTTCGCTTCAATTGTTAATAATCTGATCGTTTGCTACGTGTTTTGTATTGAATATTTTGCGCACTTGATTAACGACCGTGTGAGGGCCTTAGAAGTCATCGTCGTCGCTTTATACCGATTTGAGATTGCGGCACCATGCGATGGAAAAAGGGAGAGAGGAGCGTTTGTCAATTGTCGGTCTGAGCATCTATACACTGTCCGTTACAAAGCGATCACGATAATTGAGGTGTCAGCATGACATACGTCTGTTCGTATTGCTCAGGCGGTCCGAAAACGTAAAGCAAAGAAAATTCAATCCTGTGTTTGTCATACCTAAGCTAATGATGCACTCTCATTGCTATTTTCATTCAAGTTAATTTTACCTACCACTGAGACTGTTGACGAGTAAATGGACAAAAGTACAATGGTTATAGACAGTTTATTTGGGACTTTGCTGATCCCTGTTGAGCCAGCCATCACTGTCTTTTCCAGGTACGTTCATGCTGTCGACTGGTTGCTTCTTTTGTCAGGAGAATTCTACCTTGGGAGAGTTATAACCTCAATTCGACAAATCGACCAATACATACACGACTTGAAAGTTGCAATTACAAAGTAAAGCAGTGAATGTAAACGATTAGGCCGTTTGTCAGGACGTTT